TTGTTTAACTTTTATTAAATGTTTTTTTACTCGACATTTTGGGTTTTATTTAAATGATTGCCGGAAATAGAAAAAAAATTAGGTTCCTGGTTTCCAGTGCTAGTAATTTGTTCTAGTTTATGGTTCCATTCAAAGTTAATCTGTCATTCCAAAGGGAAATCATTGAAGCTGCAGATTGTCACAATCTGTATTTGTTTTTTCCCAAGATGTAGCTTCTCCTCCTGTGCATAAATAATGAATGATAAATAATGAGTAGACTTATGTCTCAGAAGTCCAGGATGATAAAAAATCTTGTTCCTACTTGTTACATTTGAGACGTGCCTCACTGCATCTGGGAGGATCTAAACAACAATATACAAACAGCCTCACACCACCAGGACTGGCAGCTGTTTGCTGAGATGTTTCTCTGTTGCAGAACCATCCATTGCTGCCTCTGAGCAGACCATCATCACTGGGGACCTGGACAGTCTCGTGCTGCAGTGCAACCTGACCAGTGCCTACAGTGACTTTGAAGACAGCTTCTGGATGAAGAACGGGGAGATGATCTCCGGGACACGCAGCTCTAACAAAAACATCGAGTACAGGTGAGGAAGTCAACTCACGCACGTCAGTGCTGCATGCATATCTCGGCAGCCTGTTGTGGGTTAACGCTGGGTGTGTTTCCGACCTGCAGGCTGAACAGACCAAGAGGAGACGACGCAGGCGTGTACGCATGTGTCTTCAACTTCATCAATGCTCTTTCTGCCAATGCCACCATTGAAGTTAAATGTAGGTGTTGATTCATGAGCTGCAGGCATGCTTGCTTTTTCAGGGCTGCGTTGGATTTGTCAGCAGCAGAAGCCTTGAGCAGTCACAGGCCTGTCATAATTTCAAACGGCTCTGCTGGCTGCTCAGGGTGGCAAGAGTGTGGGGAGAGGGGCGGTTAGCCAGGGAAGCCGGCAACCTTGACACCTTCATTCAGCCGATGTCCGGCTCAGTGGCAGCAGATGGTGTCTTGTTTGTCTGATGCCGAAGGATTAGGTCTCAACGGTAAAATCCGGTCAGCCTTTTCTGCAGCCACACATCCATTGCTTTGGAGGCAAATTGGATTTTGGGAAGATTTACGCATTATTCTAAGAAGCATTTCTATTCTTTCAGTCAGAAAAATAGACTTGTAACCAGGTTTCTGTTGTACAGAGTTCAGGAAATAATGTATAAAGCTAATTATTTTGTTTGGTCACATTGAATATAGTTTGTGGGGAAAACTATATATGTAGTTTGATTAAAGTCTTAAAACAGATTTCTGTCAATAAGGGGGGAAAATGACTTTTTTAAATTTTTGAATACCTTTTGGTCATCTGATGGTTTTCCTTGTTTCAGCTCCTCCTATGGTGACTGGCCACAAGCGTAGTGAGAATAAGAACGAGGGGGATGATGCTTTGCTCTACTGTAAGTCTGTGGGCTTTCCGCTCCCTGTTTGGACCTGGCACAGAATTGAAAATGATGTTATGAAGGTATGTCATGAATTAAAAAAAACTATTTATTTCTTTATGGATGACAAGATATGTCAATGTTTACGGTTGTCTCAGTTTGTTTTAAAGTGATATTGCACGTTAGCAGGACAGACATTTACTAAATCCTCACCTTTTTATGAATTTAGAGGAAGTTTGTTTCATTTTTGTGATCAAAAATGAGCGGCATAAAATCCTGTAATAAGAGCATGGACAATAATTACTACATCATTTAAACTTTTTCTGTAACTATAGTTAATAAAGAAGCAGGGTACAGATTGTTCTAAACAACGTAAGAGTGGACAAGCTGTAACTGAGAGTCTGATTAGAGGAGCTAATCATGAACAGAAATACTGAATCGTTGAGTTGAAAACAGTTTGGGGATTTGATCACCTGCAGTTTATCCACTGATCCATCTGCTCCTCCTGCTTTATGCTGCGGAGCGTGAAGTGGTTGGAGACTGTCCCATCTGTCAGTGGAGAACAGGTTTCATTCATTCAACCTTTATTTATACAGGTTAGTCTCAATGAGTCATGACTCATTTACAAGAGAGACCTGTGTTCGACAGGCAACATAAGCACGTAGGGGACATCCTGAACAAACCTGGACTAAATGTGAAAGGCCAGTTTGCAATACAGTAGTCTCTCACTATTTGCGGTTGCAAGAGAAGCTCCCTCCTGCAGCTGATCAGCTGATCTCCTTCTCTGCCACACACACATTTCTCCTGCTGCAGCTTTGTGAAGGGTTAACCCTTTGCTGTCCAGATGCACCCATCGACTTTTGTCTTCCAACTTAAAATTCAAAGTATGTCACATTGTAAAAATCGTCATAATCACTAAATATAAAAGTGTTAAAAGTTATTTTTAATTATTTTAGAGCTTCTGTGTTGAAGTGTAGTTGATCAAGAAGTATATTTCTGCTCCGTGCTGCAGAGCTGAAGCTGTGTGACATCCTTTCATGTCCTGCTGCACTTCTCTTCTCTACAATTTAAATTTAAATAATGTAACATTTTAAATAAACAATTCATGCTGCACGGATTGATTATTTTAAATGTTACAGTATTTAAATTTAAATTGTTTATTTAAGGAGGGAGATTGGGAGTAACAGATGATGAGTGAGATTACAGCCTGGCACATGTCATGGCAAAGTTTACTGAACTTGAACTTGGACTAATGTATCCCTACTTCACGATTTTTCACTTATCGCGGGGGGGGGGGGGGGGGGGTCCCAAACATCCGCGATAAACGAGGGACTACTTTATGTATATGTATACATATATATATTACTTTGTAGTTCAGATCTTTGTGAGTACTGGTAGGTGTCTGTGAAAACATTCATTCATCTGTTTGCTTTACCCGCTTCTCCTTTCTGTGTTGCGGGGAGCTGGTGCCTCTCTCCAGCAGTCACTGAGTGAGGGGGGGGGGACACCCTGGACAGGTCTCCAGTCCATCACAGGGACACATGAAGACAAATGAGACAAACAACCATTCAGTCTCACTCACACCTAGGGACAGTTTAGAGTTACCAATCAAACAATTCGGCATGTTTTTAGTTTGGGGGGAAGAAACTGAAGAACCTGGAGCAAACTCACGTGTTCACGGAAAGAACATGCAAGCTCCACTCAGAAAGACCAGGAGATGAACCTGCGACCTTCTACCATGCTGCGCTGTGTGAAAACAGTATGAACAACTGAAATCCAATCTGTTGTTGATAGTTCTTTAAAAACAGACTTAGTTTGGAGAAATAGTTTAGTTCTGGTCAGTTTGACAAGTTAATGGCTGGTCTGAGCACGGCCGAATCCAAAGTGGATTTCTGCTGCCTTTAAACTGAAATCTCAAAAATGTTATATCTGTTCATAAGAAAACTATATTCTTTAAACAATAAAGTCCATGCTCAATAATCCAGGTATACAATCCAACATTTTTCAGTCAGGTCATCTGGATAGTTTCTTTTTTTGTGCTGAAACGTTTTGCCTTCGATCCAGAAGGCTTCATCAGTCAAGGAAACGCACAACAAAACTGTTTCTTCTTCCAACAGCTTACTCCAAAGTGGAACAAACCAGTTCTGCTTGTGATAAGATGGTCTCTTTGGTACGCCCCTCCTCCATTGCCGGCCCTCTTCCTTGTTGACAGTCTTGTCAAACTGGTTGAAAACAACAAAGTCCATGCTCAATAATCCAGGTATAAAATCAAACATTTTTCAGTCAGATTAGGAGTAAGCTGTTGGGGGAAGAATCAGTTTTGTTGTGTGTTTCCTTGACTGATGAAGCCTTCCGGACCGAAGGCGAAATGTTTCAGCACAAAAAAAGAAACTGTCCTGATGATCTGACTGAAAAATGTTGGATATTCTTTAAAGTTTTTACACTGTTGCCAGGGAATTCTAAGGTAATTTACATGGATTTACTGGGTATTTATATGCAAAAGTAGCAGCAGCTCTCTCCAGCACTTCCAGTGCACATCACTGCAGTTCACTTTGGTCCATCCAGCTGAAGGTAACTATGTGGCAAACATTCGTGAGGGAATTTCTGAAACGCCTCAAAACATTTGCTATTTTCTGTTTAATCACATAAATCGCAGAGGCTCACAGTCTTCTGGCTGAAATGTTAATAAATGGAAGGTCAGAGAAAAGCAGAGCAGCTGTAAAAACAAAACTATTCAGAAAATCTAGTCGAACATTAAAAGGTTTACAGGAACCAAGAAAATCCTCGAGACAAACCATAAGCCAGCATGTAATGGCTCTCAGACAGCTCTGCATTTAAAACAGGCAGAAGAAATCAGCTAATGTGTGAAAATGTTGATCAGAGCCTCAGAGATCGCTCTGTTTTCCACCACATCCACAAATCCACGTTGTGTTAAAACCGTCTGTCCGCTGAAAGGAGCACCGAAGATTATGAGACTAAAATCCACTCTGGCTAAAGCTGCCATTTGTTTACCAACTGGAGTGTAATTACTGCATGTTCTAACGGGTTGCTGGCTGCGCAGCATTGAAACTGCGATTCTGCATTGTGTGTTACAAACGCGTAACATGCCAAATGTTCAGGCTGAAAATTGCAAACCATATGTGTTCAGCCAATAAAAAGGCAATAATAAAACAACTGTTACTAATAAAATACAATAGAAAGGGTAAAAGAAGCTAAAAGGGCGGGAAAAAATTGACACAAATTCATAAAGTGTTTTATTACTTGGTAAGACAACACTTTGAAATATCGTTTTACAAACTTAGAATACAAGGTGGAAAATATAAAACAGATGATTCCACACTAACAAACTCTCATCGTGACTTTCTGTAATCCTCGACAGGATATAGACAACTCGTCCGGGCGCTTCGTCATCAGCAGCAGGGAGAACTACACCGAGCTCCACATCGCCAACCTGGACATGAACCTGGACCCGGGCGTGTACGCGTGCAACGCCACCAATCTTCTCGGCAGCCACAGCGAGAAGTCCACACTGAGGGTCCGCAGCCACTTTGCCCCCCTGTGGCCTCTTCTGGGAGTTTTGATTGAGATCATCATCCTGGTCATCATCATTGTTGTTTACGAGAAGCGCAAGAAGCCAGAGGATTTACAGGACGGTGAGTCACCAGTTATGATGTTCCCAATTATTTTTAGCGTATCTGAGGGGAATTAGTCCTAACTTTTTGGGTCGAACTTGAAAAGCTTGTGTTACTTCTGTGAAAAGTCTTAAATTTTTTAACTTTTAAAAGCAGTGACCATGAAGGTGGACACTAGAGGAGTCACTTAACACCGAGCTGTGCCTGCGTTTAATAATTCAGCCTGGAGACGTTGATCCAACACAGACACTGTTGCAGAAGGGCTCACCTTGTTAGAACAGTTTCATTCATTTAATATTCATGAGAAACATGATACTGCAGCCTTGGAAAGGTGGACCCTTTCAATTATTAATGGCTTTCCAGGGATGTTGTTCAATCTAAACCAGGAGACTCACCATTGAGCTGTCCATTTGTGGCCTTCAAACCTGTGATTTTCCAACACTGACTATTTTGTTTGTGTGAGCTGAGATACATAAATTATGCATTAATGATATTTTGGCGACCTTTTCCTGTCAAACTGAATTTTAATATTGTCCCATGCTGATCACACACAACAAGCAGTGAATACCCAACAGCCCAGAGCAGTGAGGAGACGACTGCTGTTACCAGAAACGCTGCAGTTTAAAAATGTTGAACAGTAATAAACGGACTGTAGATTTCCATAAAGCAAGTTCTTTTTATTTGACCCACTTTGTGCGGTGAAGAGGGAAATACAGTAGTCCCTCATTTATCACGCGTGTTAGGAACCAAGCCCCCCAAGATAAGTGAAAAGCCACAAAGTAGAGATAGTAGTTCAAGTTCAAGTAAACTTTATTGTCATTACCATCTCGTGTGGTACTAAATTATGTACACAAGTAGTATTAGTAGAAGTAAGTAGTAGTTTATTTTAGTATTTACTGTAGTAGTAGTAAGCCTGTCGCGGTAAACAATAAATCAATTAATCGCATGATGAATTAAAATTATGGACCTCATTTTCATTTACCGGCTTTATCATTTCTTCGTTTCTCTTTCTACTGAAGACACTGGATGACAAAAGGCTCAACTCTGGTGCTCTTCACTGACCCCTCCCTTTCTCGTTAAAATCTGTTTTAACCGTCCAAAATCACATTTTTGGATCGTTAAAAGCAGCTAAGCTGAGAAGCTAAGCTACGAGCTAAGCTAACAGGCGACCTCGGGAATAAACCTCCGTCTTGTCGAAGCTCCAAAATTCACAGTTGAAACCTGTGCCTTTGTGTAAAAAGTTTTTCTCTGCAAAAAGAAGCTGAGAACTTGTTTACTGATTTTTTTATTTAAAACTTTGTGTGAAAAATGCTAAAGAGCTCAAATCACAGAGCATCCGCCATGTCAGTCCATGTCACGTCAAGGGCCCTCCCTCCCACTTTTCTTAAAGAGACACGCTGCTCAACGATCCATCCTTCGGTTCAAACAGTCTTATACTGCCATCAGGTGGTCAAAAAAGGTACTACACTCCAAAAAAATCAAAATTTCTTCTAAAATTTGACAAATAATTATTGTTAAATTTCAAACAATGTTATCGTTTACTGCAATAATTTCTGAGCTAATTAATCGTCCAGCAAAATTTGTTATTGTGACAGGCCTAGTAGTAGTAGTTTATTTTAGTGTTTACTGTAGTAGTAGTAAGTAGTAGTTTATTTTAGTATTTATATACAGTATTTATTGAGACTTTAGAAACCCTTCCCACACTTATGCAATGTTCTAAACTCTTAAACCTACTAATCCTAACAACGTACTTATATGCAGCTACTAAATTTTACTTACCAGGCTCTGCAGTACATGAGCGTCTCGGTTCCGTAACTGAGAAAACTACAAACTGGCGATGCTTTTTAAAAATTATATATATTTTTTATTATGTACAGTACTGTACGTCCACAAACCGCGATACGAGTCCACAAAAGTCGAACCGTGAAGTAGCGAGGGACTACTGTATATGTAAAAGTTGTGAGCTAGATAACTTGAAAAATAAGCAACGTGCCAATTTCTGTTTCTTTGTGGCTGCATTAGGGTGAAAGGAAGATGACAATTGAATATTGGGTTAAATTTAAATCAACAAATAAAATATATACCTATACAGTATATTTATATATCCTCTAGCAGCCTTTGTGTTAGTGGATAAAACTGTGGTCATGGATCAAATTGCTCCCTCCACTCCTCAGGATGTCACTCTGTGCTGCCCTGAACTAACAAGGAAAAGAAACCTACCTCTCTTCTTTTACACAATGTAGCTCGTACCAAACGTTAGGGTTTACGTCCATTTCCTGTTCAATTCCAGTCCAGAAAAATGCTCAGAAACTACATTTATTATTCAAATCCCTCAGCAACAGGGGACATTAGCGTACCGCTCGTTTTATTTACCATTCCTGTAAATACATTAGTTTTGGTTGTAGAATGGTTTAACAGATTATTGCAATGTCTCCAATCCTCCTCCCTCCCTTTTTTTTTTAATCGCATAACCTAAACCATGTTTGTGGTAAGTGTGAGACTTTGCATGCTGCCTGATTTTTTTTTTCTCTTTTAAATTGATATTTTCAGTTTTTATTTTCTAAAGCGATATCTCCATATCTGAGCGTTCCACTTGTAGTCGCAGCAGCACGTCTTGTGTAATGAAGTGCAGATATTTTGTGACGACCAATCATTTCCGCTCTCTCTGTTTCACGTCGCTTCACTGAATGAATAGTGTAGACGGCTGATACTGGTGCAGCTGTTTCTGACTAATCTCTGAGTTAACAGATGTTCTTTGTGAGCGCTGCTTGTCTGTGCATGACAAAATAATTTAGTTTGAGTTCTGCCTGTGGTGGAGGTGTTCTCACATGCTCATGCTTTCAAAGTTTGGTGTTTAACTGGCTCAGTTGTCTCATAAGGTTTTTTTCTGCAGCATGTTTTTTTTTCCATCTTAATTTAAGCTGTTTTTATTTCATCACACAGTCTTAAAAAACAAACGTCATTAATGTTACAAGCTTAAAACTTTCATCACTGTTGTGAAAATTTTAGCTATTTTTGTAATTTCTCCTTACTTTTTCTTGTTGCCTCAGATGATGACTTAGCTGGACCAGTGTAAGTACAAACATTTTTCTTCTCTTTTTAGCTTTATTGAAGTTATTTGTTCATGGTTGGAGATTATTTTCTACCAACCCCCAAGAGCTAATTCATAGACAGTTTTTAGCATCATGGAGCATTTCAAAAGTCAAATACTGTAAATCAGAATGAGAAATTATAAGGTTGAGGTCAAACATGTTGGCTTTTGTAGTATGACATATGCAGGATATATTCATACATTTTACGGGTTCTTCATTTTTCTGACTGTGTACATGTCGTGCATTGAATTTAACAGAAACGTAAACGAGAGACGTTATTTATCTTTGACCCATCAAAATGAATGCGGTCATTTATTTACAGAATCAAAGTTTAACATCAAACATTTACATTAATTTGGCAAAAATGAAAACAATAACATGGCTAGTTTCACAGGAAGTTGGAACAATACGGAGATTGTTGTCACTTTTCAGCAGAAACAGACATCAATCACACGGCGGTGATTGAGAACTTTGCTTCAGACATTTCTAAAATATCTGTAATGATTTTAGGAGAAAGGAGAGTTTAAAGATGGAAAATGGAGATTTATCTTACAGAGAGATGTGTGAGGGAATTTATCTGTTTGACCAGAAACGTGCACGCTCCTTCAGATCTCAGCTTGGCCACGGTACGCTTGGTCGAAGTAGAACTTTTACCTGGTTGATGATAGATCAGGTCAGCGTGAAGTCCTTCTTTTGACTCTTTCAGCGTCTCCGTTGAGAACAGCTAAAATACTTTTAGGAGTCGTGCGAGGTTATCCAAACAGAAGTTATAATTCCCAAAATCGTCCCTGCATTCTGGATTGCAAGAATTCTGAACTCCTTCAGAACTCTACTCGTCACATCTCGTCCCATCTCATCCCTGAGAGAACTCTGAAGCTTCTCTATCAGAGAACTTTTTCATCTCACTTCTCCATGAGCTGCATCCGAGCCGTTGAACTGGGAAGTTGCCACATTTAAATGGGTCGACTTCCGGTTCATTTGAGAGCTTTCTAATTGGTGGATGGACCAGAACAGAGGTGTGGTTTGTGATGTAAGGTGTTATGAAAATTCAAGGATAGAGATTAAGATTGTTTAAAACAGACAGAAAGATTATTGGAGAAAACCAGACTTCGTGGAGTCAAACTCTCCTGTATCTTCTGTAAAAGTTAAACATGACATTTCTTTTCAGTAAACTTTTTTAGTTGACCGAAACCTGAACTTTAACACACACTTACAAACTTGCTCATTGAAGACAGAAAAATCAAGAAATGCATATTACCCTGATTTCTTCTTTGAATGAGGAATAAAAATCATTACTTACTGTTTATGTAAATAAAAATGAGTAGTTCTCTTCAACCTGTAAACATTGTTTGAACTAACACAATTTGATTATCAAAACATTTGTAAAATAGTAATGATCATAGAGAATTGTCTTTTCTACTTGATTAATTCAAGAAAGAAAGTCTCAGGATGGGTCAAACTGTATTTCTGGATGCAGATCAATGAAATAACAGTTTCTGTCCATCTGGTCAGATTTGACATCAGGTCAAGTTCACTACACTTTATATGAGTTTACATTATTAAATCACTGTTTGAAATGCTTAAGGCAGCATTTCAACTCCTTATTTTTTAGCACTGTCCTGTATTAAATCAATTGTTTGAACATGAATAATGCTGTTTTTAAACAATGTTTGACTCATTAGATGTATGTAAAGTTAATCAACAAAGGTTTCACATGATCTTTAAGGGTTCAAAGTATGTGTTGGGAATAACTCTCAGTCACAACCACACCACATTTTAGCTCAGTGTCTGCAAATCTGACTGAGTTATATCTACTTTGTGTTTTGCTAAAGTCAGTTAGCCATGGCAGCCATCTTGAATAAGATTAACTCCAAAGTTAATCAGTTGTAAATGTACATTGACGCGCAGCCAAACGTCAATGCAGGAAAGCCGAACGTAAATAGAAGAAAGACAAACTTCACGTTTCTTTTACCATGCTAAAATCATGTTACAAAGAGTACCAGGCCACTGTTAAATCAGAAAAAAACACATATTTCTCCCAAATCATCGCCTCAAACAGCCACAATCTCCGCGTTCTTTTCAACACCATTAACTCCATTTTAACCGTGCCTCAGTCTGCCAACAGGGAGGTCTCTGCAGTTACATGTGACGACTTTGCCAGTTTCTTTGTTAAA